ATGAGTGTTTTAACTGATGTGTGTAAGTGCAGCTGTGTCATGCAATGCCTGCAGAGGCCAGAAGAGGGTTTTGATCCCATAGAACTAGCTTATGGGCAGTTGTTAGCTGACATGTGGGTACTGGGAATTGAACCCGGGTCCTCTGGAAAAATAGCCAGTGCTCTTAACTGTTGAGCCACCTCTCCAGCCCCAAGCATCAACTTTTAGTAATGGGCATTGGCAAGAACTCAGCATGGAAAGGCTAGAAGGATAAAAGGAAAACTAAAACAATGGTATGGTTCCAAAAAGCAGAGAAGAATGACTTGCATGGATGAAACAGTTAACAAATTGAAAAGCTGCACGTAGAACAAGAAATTAAAAGCCTCCATAGTCGTTAGAAGCCCGCAATAGTTACAACAACAGTTGCTGCAGTGAGGGTTAGAGAAAAGGTTTATTTGCAGGTAAAGGATTGAGGAAATGAATTAGATTTTTGTGGCTAAATAATACCATTTTATAGTTCTAAATACCACATAGTTCTAAAGGCCAGATGTCCAATGTAAGTCTGACTGGGTTAAAATCAAGGTGTAAACAGGGCTATGTTCTTTTCTGGGCCTGTAAGATCTTTCTTTGCCTGTCCTGGCTATCCATGGTCTTTGGCTTGTAGTCCCCTTCAAAGCCAACACTGTTGCATGTTGCATCATTCTTCCACAGTCAGATCTCCCTCTGTCATCACACATAGGTTATCTGCCTTTGACAGTTCATGTAAATTGGGCATGGTGTGGCATGCCTATAATCCTAGCATTTGGGAGCCTGACACAGGAGGATCATGACTTTGAGGCTAACCTGGGTTACATAGTTTCTTCAAAATAAAAAAGCGTAATTTATATGATTAGGTTAGGCTGCCTCCCACCCTGCCCATAATCCAGGAAATACCCCATCTTGAGCGTCTTACCTTGGTCAATTCTGTAATTATCTTTTGCCATCATAGTAGAGATTAGGATGAAGATGTGCTTGAGTGCGGGGGCATTAGTCTGTCAACTAAAGGCAATGTGGAAAACTCTTCAGGAATTTTTCCAGAGAGGAAATAGAGCTTAGTTTCAGTTCTATAAGGACACAGGCCTCTTTTGAGGAAGTGATAAGTCAGGCTCAGCTAGGAGATGGGCACTGCAAGGATGATATATATGTTTTATTTTATTTATTATTTTTATTTATGTGTATAAGTGCATTGCTGCATGTGTGTCAGTGCACTCATGCTGTGCAATGCTGACAGAGTCAGAAGAGGGAATTGGATTCTCCTGGAACTGGAGCTACAGATACTTGTTAGCTGCTATGTATGTGCTGGGAATCAAGCCCAGGTCCTCTGCAAGAGCAGCCAGTCCTCTTAACCACTGAGCCATTTCTCCAGTCCCTTGAAGATGATATTTTTCTGAGATTTAGAATAGATTTAAATGGGTTCTTTATTTTATTTGGATGTTTATGGGTTAAATTTTCAAAACAAGAATGCGATTTCTCATGGCTTGTTAGATTGTGGCTGAAAGTGGCTTGGTCTTAATTTGGAAAGAACTTTAGAGTCTTGCAGAAGTATCACCATTCAAACATTTATTTTATTCTCTGTGTCCTATAATATTGCATCAGAAATTAAAATGTGATTTATGAACACTGTATTTTGTTCATTTAAGCAACCCACCCTCTCAAATCCTTATATTAGTAAGGTAGAGGTAATTATATGCTCCAGAACATGCTGTTCTTGTTATGACTAAATTGTCAACAAACCGAAGTGCAAGTAGCAGGGATTAAGCATGAATTGGAACCTAAATTTTTAACTAGTTTTAGAAATTACTTCTTGTTCAATCTGGCAAGTGTCTGTTAATGTAGCCCAATATGTCTATCATATTTTTATCTACTGATGTGGCCTAGTGTCATCTATCATAGACCAGAACATTAAAGGAAATATGAAAAAAACATTTTCTATGACAGAAACAATCTTTTTTTTTTTTTTTTTTGAGCTGTCAGAACTTTCTACTGAAAGGAAGCATCAAATTTGATCTATTACCCTACCTGAGCAGACAGCAATATTGAAATGGTGAAGAGGCTAAAATGACCTCTCTCAAAAAGACATTGGGAGTGCTCTCTTCTTACAGAGAGGCAGCCTTGGAATTTTGTCTTGTAGGCCAGAGTAGTGCCCTTCTCCAGGCCTGATCAAAAGGAGTTCACTGTGCTCTGCCCTTGAGCTCTTTGAACCTTGTGGTAATAGATTCTAACCACACCAAGTTCTTGCATATGAAATAAATTTAATGGCTAAACTAGTTCAGAACTCAACCACTTCTATCTTCTTTCCCCAATCTCTTCTTTTTATTGAAGGCTTCAACCTCATTAGTATTTCAGGAAAAAAACTGGACCTTGTCCATCAACTTGCTTGTTGCTTTCCTTTTCCTGGCAAGCATAGCCCAACGTTTCAATAGAGGAAGTGGGAAGGAATACAACACATTCAGAGTCTATGAAAGACCTTATTTACCATCAAAGTGAAAGTTTCCAGATACTCCGGCCCTGTTTTCTTATGTTCTTAAGTCTTTGATGAGGAATTAAAGACTCCAGCCAGGGTGGCAGAGGCCTCTGAGAGATCCCTGGCAGAAGGTACTACAAGGTGTCCTGGAGTTGTTCATTAATTATGAATGATATTGAGGACTAGGTAGAGAACAGTGGACAAAAACCACAAACATATAATTTCTACACAGGCACTCAAAAATCTGAATCGACACAATTAAGATGTGTGTTTCTGCTTCCTCTGCACCTTTTTTTCACAGCATTTACTGAAGCTTGCCTTTTTATGGAACAGCTTTTGTTTCTGACCCTCTCCCTGACTCAGTTCTAAGTCTTTAGAAAGTGGATTTCAAGTATTCATGAGTGTAATAATCTGAGAACCTTGTTGAAAAACTATAGGATGTAGCGTTTGAGATGATCAAATAAAAATTAAGGCAAGCTTATGAATGCTCATTTAACAGACCCTCAAATGAATGTAATGCAGTGATCTGCAACCAGTCTTCAGAAATTTTCCCAGTGTTCACAGTCTTCAGGGTCCCAACATTGTGCAGTGTTCATACGGGTCCCCCAAGACTGTTTATGAAACAGAGGCAAATGCTTTGAATGGGTAAATCTCACTGGTAATTGAGATTCAAGTTTATTGCTCTCAGAGGTGAGATGATCACTCTAGTGAGTTGTGCATAGACTAAATGTCTTGATAAGAGGAAATTGCATATGCAATTTTCTAATTGAGAGAACTGGCAAGAGAAAATATTCTATTTCATCTAGAACACCACACCGGATGGAAAACTGCTTTGTTTTCTTATTTTTTTCACTTGGGAGGAAGAAATGCATTCATTCCTGGCTGCTGCCTGTGGGACACAGAGAAAAGCTTTGGTCCTGTTTGAGTTTCCCACTAGTTACTGTTGTGTGCTTCTGGTGCCTTCCGGTTTCTTTTGTTTATTGTTTACCAGGTGCTGTGGGGCCTGTCTTTACTGTGCCTCCCTCTTTGTTCTGCCACTGGGTGTGAAGCTTTCCACATTATTTGTCCCTGGATGCTCCCTGGCAGCCTCTAAATAGCCAGATGTAAAATAAATAGGAAAATCACATCTTTTGTATCAACTCCACACATCATTCGAAAACTATATTTTTTTGATATAAAAAATGCATCCCCCCCTTGGCTTCATGAAAACAGTCACAATCGTGTGTTTAAAGACAGAAAATGATTATAATGTAAATATTGTAAATATCTTTAGTTTTCAGTTTTGTTCAGCCTTTCGGCTTTTCAAAAAGTCAGCATGTCACTTTCTTGAATCACAAGTGTTCATTCAGTTTATTTATGTGTCTGTCGTCAGTGGTAAGCTGTGTTAAAATTGCTCCAAGTAGAAAAAATGGCCCTGGAAACTATGTGTGGCTAATATCTAGACAGAAATGTGTATGGATCACTTAGTTTGCTAAATTTATGGGAAGTAATCAATGCTTATAAGTCTTGGCTCTGTTTCAAAGTCAGAAAAAAAAAAAGATTTAGCATTAAAATCAAATGCCGTGGGCTTTTCCATTTTCAAAACCCGACTGTCTGTCTGTCTGTCTCTATCATCTATCTATCTATCTATCTATCTATCTTCTACCCATCATCATCATCATCATCATCATCATCATCTATCTGTCTTCCTACCATCCTTCTGTCTTTTGATGACCATTCAACAGTTTTCTCTCATTTAATCTGACGTCCTTGGAAACAGCTGACAATGTGTATGCTTGAATGTACATACTATATTGATACTGAAAAATGTTATAGACACCCAAGACTGTTAAAGAGCAATGAGTGGGAGGGACTCTGGAGTGAGTGTCTGGGTAGGGGCTGCCACTTATAAATAGAGTCCTCATTTATTACTTTAATTGACTTTCCAAGTGCTGACAGGAGGTTGTCTGCCCTGTGAAATATTCTCAGTTTACATTAAAAAAAAATCAAACCTGTTTTGTATTCCACTAAAACCAAAAATCAATGTGTTCCTTTTCAAAGGCAGAGGGTCAATACCGTGGTTGTTTTTGTTCCCATGCAGTTATGTAACAGTGGGGACTTGTTTCTTTGCTTTCAGGATTTGTGAAAAACACATTAAAGCTAAACAATAGGCGGGAGCCCCCGGAGCAACACTTGAGAGCTGTCTCCTAGAATGTCCTCCTAGGTTTGGGAACCTAGATTAATTCCATCTCAAGTGCTCTGTGTGTGTGTGTGTGTGTGTCTGTCTGTGTGTGTGTGTGTGTGTGTGTGTGTGTGTGTGTGTGTGTGTGTGTGGTTAGCTGGCACCACACACTTCCCCAGGGTTGTGTTTCCTTTTTCCTGAGATTTGGCGAAGGGTAAAGGGTCGGAGTCACATGGATTGAGAGCATTTGATTGATGTCCAAGTCACCGCTGTAGCTGCAGGAGCCGCCTCCCCTCTGGCAGGGGCCGCGTGAGGCCGGAGCGGCGGGCCAGGCTGGGCGCCCGCTGTCCCGGGAGTGTTGTGCGTTGGAGCCCCGGGCGTCCCGCGCGCGTGTCGCAGCCGGAGCTCGGTCATCGCCCCCCACCCGGGTCTCCCGCCAGCATGTGAGGTGGCTGGTCCCTCCTCGGACTTCGTGGAGGCGGCAACTTTCGGACCAGCGTCTGCGGCGGGCTGGGGCAGCGAACTCGCCCTGCAGCCTCTGTGCCCAGCGGCCACCATGGGCGACGAGAGCCGCGGAGGGGACGGGCGCGCCGAGAGCGCCAAGGATGCTGATAAGCAGCTTCGCCTGCGCGTCTGCGTGCTCAGCGAGCTGCAGAAGACCGAGCGCGACTACGTGGGCACCCTGGAGTTCCTGGTGTCGGTGAGTGGCCGGCCCCACGCAGCCTACGCGTCCCCGGATTGTCTGTACCGCCACTGAGGCGTCCGTGGGAAAGGCGCGGGGACGCCGAGGTCGCGGGGACCCCCCGGGATGTGCTCACTGTCGGACACGCACCGAGTGGCCGGGGCTTTGGAGACGTGGCCAGCTCGCGTGGGAGAAGTTAGCCAGAGGCCACCCTGGCGGTCCCTGTGTGCCCACTTTTCTTTATCCATCTCCCCCGGCTGATTTCATCGCATCGTGTTCTTTCCCGTTTTCCTCCCCTTGATACTTTGTTTTAAATCTTTGCTTTTCTGCTTAAATCTGCTGCTTTTAGGTGCTCGTAGGTTTTTAAAAAGTCCTTGAATCTGGTGGAGCTGGACTTGGTTATTAGATCCACAGAGTAAAGGGCCCTTAGGTAGGATCTTTGAATCTTGGGATTCTGTGGGTGGGGAGCTGAGTAGAAGGAGCAGCGGGTCACCATCCCCAGCAGCTGTTGGGTATTAAAGCCACATGTGTGCGCCCGCCCCCCAGTCCTACACTCTCCTTCCAGCTGGTTGAAATCTGTCCTCCGCTAGGTTCCTGGTCCCTTGAGCACACCGAACCATTCAGAGTGGAGTCATAAAACTCAGCCTGACAACTTCAGGATTTCGTAGCACTGGACAGGAACTTTGTTTTCAGGTCTTTGCTTGACTCAATTGGAAGTCTGCTCAGAAAACATTTCATTCAGTTTCAGGCTGGAGGGGCAAAACTGTGGGAAAATAAACTCCGGAGACATCACCTCAACACAGAATTTTTCCTGTTAACTGCCTAAAAGACAAAGAACTTGAAGTTGGCCCCTGGTGGTCCTGATGCCCGTGAGCGTATCATTCAGAGAACTAGGGGCCCTCTGAAACCTCACCCAGATCACCCTACCTTCCGCCTTGGCCTGTCCTATAACCCGCCGCCTCTCCAAGTCTGAAGGGAAAAGTTTAAAATACCGAACTTCCTTCTGAGTTTCACTCAATCTACATGCTTGCAGTCACAGTGCAGAAATTCATGTGGCTATATCAAGAAGGAAGGAAAATGTCTCAGGAGGTGTAAAGTGCCCAGGTAGGCTTTTGTTGGACCCCTCACATTCTGTATGCCCGAACCTACAGGGGCCACATTCTTTGGAAAGGTACAAGTATTCGAGAATACCCTGACAACTGGTGATATGTAGGGTGGTTATACACGTTCATGAAGCAACCACCGTAAGAAGAATGAGTTTTTAAGGAGGTTTAACTTTTTTTTTTTTTATTAGTTGAAACAGGATCTCCCTGTAGCCCCCACTGACTTGGAACTCTCTATGTAGACCAGGCTGGCCTCCACCGCACAGAGATCTGCCTGCCTCTGCCTCCCAGGTGCTGGGATTAAAGACTTGCACCACTAAGCTTGGCAGGAGATTTAACTTTTAATACTTTTAAATTTGAATTTCAACAAACTTGGGTGGGAATGAAGTCTTGATTTGAGGAATTTGAGGAATTTCCTAGAAGCAGTGCTTTCTGAAATAGATGAAAAGGTGTCTGTGTAGGTGCTGTCTCAGAACTTGGCAAGTGAATCCATTTTGTCTCAAAAATCAAATTGTTGATCTTCATTTAAAATGTCAGTTTTCCTTCTGTGAGCACCTGATTGTTAGAACTGAAAACGCTCTGGGGCAAGAAAGAATCAGAAGTATGAAATAAATTGTGTTTTAAAGCATCATCTTAAGGTTTTATTCACTTAGAAATCATAAGCTCTGTTTTTTTTTTTTTTTTTTTTCGGTCCATTATTTGCACTTGCATATGTTTTTACACAAATATGATTACTGTCCTGAATGTCCCGGAATTTGGTTCGTTGGTTGTTTTTAGTCTCATGCTGCAGCCCAGGGTGGCCTGGAACTCACTATTTGGTTCAGGCTAGCCTCAGATGCATGGCAATCCTTCCTTGGCCTGCTGTGTGCATTATAGATATCCACACCATGCCTGGCGCCTTAAATGCCATTTTAAATACTAACTCTGGCTTCTTTTTGTCATAATCATTCAAAATCTAAAATCTGTTTATGATACATTTTTCCATTTTCTCTTTGGGGATTTGTTTGTAGCAGTATTCAACCCCCTTTGGGTTTTGCTTGGTTATCTATAGCCAATATTTTCAATCTACTTTTCATATTATACTCTGCTCATATGTGCCGAAAACCTTAAAAATATTCATATTGTTTGGCTTGAAAATTCTTCTTCTAGGAACTTATCCTAAGGGAATGATAAGATGATAAGAAATGGAGACAAGCAATAA